GTGGAGGAGGGGTAACGCATCCCCTAAAGCGCTTTTCGCCGCTTGCGCCGGTCACGGCTCATCAGAGGGTGATAATCCTCTGGCTCACAAAAAATATGTATATAGTGATAGGGTGTGGTGGTATGAGTTGGGCAGGGGGGTATGTAGTAATCACTTACCATGTACTCATTGGCATCAACCTCGGCGAGAAATTCATCCAAGGCCGCCATCTCTGTCCACAGACTCTTGCGAGAGTACACCCACTGTGATCGCAGTATCAGGTTATTCAACCTGAGTTCTGCCGACCACGGATCACCAGAGGTCCGTATGTCCACCGTAGTGGAGATCAGACCGAAGGAATAAATGGTGAGGATAGGACCCTCCTTTCTCAGGTAGCTATGGAGGGTGGAGCAGCTCCACTCTCAGCACCGAGTCTAAGGGGGAAGAGAAGATGAGAGTAGAAGCGCAAAGACTGCAGTTGTCGCCTACAGTGGGAGTCTTGATGCTGAGGTACAGCAGCTCCCATTGACCGACTTTAAAGGGAAGCGGGGGATCGTGCATTGTGATGATGGCGGGATACAGTCGGTGTGCTTGTGGTGTGTTGCGGGGGATAGAGAGCAAGGGGGGGGGGGGGGGGGGGGGGGGGGGGGGGGGGGGGGGGGGGGGTCGGTGAGGTACTGGGGGGGGGGGAGGGCGTGATGGGGGGGGGGGGGTTGATCATATCCGGGTCGTTTCGGGGATGGTGTTGTCGCATACTCATTGCAGTACGGGAGTAGTGATTGCAGGGGCATGAGGGTATGACAGTGAGAACGTATTATGTTCAGCAGTGCAGAGTGATGGTGGGAGTTCAGAGTATGTGCAGCAAGCGCACGCTTTCTCGTGAAGTTCGGAGGTGGGGACGATGTGTCATGTGCGGCGTTTGTTTGGGTGTGGGCAGATGTGCGTCTGCTAGTGGAGTCAGTGGCGTATTTTCCGGGGGGTATAGCTGTGTGGGGAGCGATGACGACAAGGGTGGGAGCGTTGGTGCCGTTTCATGGTCTGGTCCCCCTTTTTTTTGTTGTTTGTATAGCTCTGAGTTTTGGTTTGTTTTTTTGCTGGTGACTGGGTTATTTATTTGGGATATCAATTTTGTTATTATTATTATTTGGGCAGAGGTTTGTTTTTTGTGACATTTTCAGGCCGTATTTGTGGCCTAGTTTCTAGTTCTTGAGGCAGCCTACCCGTGTGTCTGTTTATCCAGGGGGGGGTTGTTTTTTTTGTTTTTTGATGATTAATCGATTTCTTGGTATCCGTGTATATGTTCCGAGGTTTCAGATTGGTGGTGGTGGTTGTGGTAGCCAGGGTTGTGCTGGTTATATGCTTGTGCAGGTTCCTAGAAGGTGTGCTTAGAGTAAGTGGATAGTTAGTACAGGAGCTTGTGAATTGGTATATTGGCTATTAACGGTTGAGTGAGTGTGTGTGTGTGTGTGTGTGTGTGTGTGTGTGTGTGTGTGTGTGTGTGTGTGCAAGTGTGTGTCGGAGTGTGTGTCGGAGTGTGTGTCGGAGTGTGTGTGTGTGTGTGCAAGGGTGTGAGTACCCCTACCCGCCAGACGTCTGGTTCCATGCAGACGCGGCGGGTCTGGTATCGGCGTCTGGATGTCCGGGTGTCCGTGTCGGGGGCAACCATGGTTCAAAAACTTCAACGATGATATGTCAAGGCCGGCGCGTAACAAAGGAAAAAGAGGAAATCACCACCCAATGAACACACCAGCACAAGAATTGACGACGCCCACTTTCTTTGATGATGACAAGTGCTTTGATGATGAAAAGGCCCCTTCTTGCCTCCCAACAAATTCAACAATCAACACAAGATGAACAATAGTTCTCTCCTCTCGCTGGCCTCAGGACCAGCGTGCATGATCATCTACTTCATCGATTACTTTTATCTACTACTCTATCTATACTACTTTATCTATACCACCCTATCTGCTACTCTATCTACTACTCTTACCTTCACAACTCTACCTACTATTCTACCTATACTACTCTATACTACTCTATCTATACTACATTTTCTACTGCATCTACAAGTCTATCTACGAGTCTTATCTACTATTCTACCCTGAACCTCACCAATAGTACAATGCTGCAGCGTACAATAGCTCCTCTATCTACTACTCTTATCTAGTCTATCTAGTCTATTTTCTTCTCTAGCCTGCTACTTTAACCCACACCTCGCACACAGACAATGCCGTAGAGTAGACTAGCTGATCCATCCCATGCCCGGAGGAAGAATGTACCACAGTGGAGTTCTTCTTCGCAATCAACACCAGGTATGTCCTTTGCCAACTGTCTTCTCCGTGCCGGCTTCCATTTCCTCCTAGAACCTCCCCTCCTTGTGCCCTCTCTCTCTCTCTCTCTCTCTCTCTCTCTCTCTCTCTCTCTCTCTCTCTCTCTCTCTCTCTCTCTCTCTCTCTCTCTCTGTCTCACTCACACTCACTCACACTCGGACGCAAAGGCAGACACACACACGCTGACGGTCGCTGCTACCTGCACCTGGTCGCGCCCCCTTACCATGGCACTGCCCAGCCAGAATGTGCATCTGGGTGTACAGGCACTTCCTATATGGCAATCCCATGATCTGGATGGGAATGTATGCCCTGCCTTGTAGTAGTTTCTGGAGATAGCAGCGGGCCTGCTGACTTCCAGCCGAGCCCCAACCACCTGGTCGGTACATTACCCTCAGCCTGACCCAGCCATCTTTCACAAAACTATGTGGGCCCCTTTTCGTTTCGGCTCTCTGAGCCTTCTTTACTTAGGGCCCTTCCTTCCTAAGGCTCTTCCTTCCGTGAGGTGAATACCAAGGAGAGATGTCATATACCTCGCTCGAGCCATTTCCCGAATGTCATACCTGAGTGCGTGGTGTCATACCTGAATGCGTGGTGTCATACCTGAATCTCATAGCAGAAGAAGAAGGCTACTCACAAAAAGGACGAAGACCGAAGACCGAAGAATGAAGAACGAAGAAGAACATCAGCATCAGCAGCAGAAGCAGATGCTGCTGCTGCTGCTGCTGAAGAAGAAGAAGAAGAAGAAGAAGAAGAAGAAGAAGCAGCAGCAGAAGAGGAAGAGGAAGAAGAAGAAGAAAGAAGAAGAAAGAAGGAAGAAGAAGAATAAAGAAGGCAAGAAGGAAGAAGAAGACGAAGGAAGAAGAAGAAGGAAGCCAGTCGCAAAGCCAATCGAAGATCTACGTTCTAACTGAATTAGAGAAGAAGAGGAGGATGACCATCCTCTTAATGAAGAATCAAGAGAAGAGAGTAGCGAGGATGGGATCGGATCGCACAGGACCTGGTGCGATAGGTGCTGTCACTGCTGTGTATATTATGCTTTGCTTGTTCTATTGTATGGAAACCAAATTGCAAGATCCCAAACACATTAGAAACGCGTCAGCATATGGTCCCGCTCGTCAGCTGTCTCAAGGTTTCTCCTGATACCCACAACCGGTCCTGTCGCGGGACTGGACCCCGTATCGGTATGTCCCTCCCGACATGGAATTTCTTCTTCTCTCTCTTCACTGCCCCTGTTCTGCGCTGCAAGTTTCTTCCATTCTCGTCTTCCGTAGACATACATCACAATGATGAGCGCGATCGCCACAACGAGCGTGGCCACGTCGGATGCTATCTTCACTGGTGTGAGCTTCATCCCTCCGCTCGCAATTTTCGCCAAGTCCTTCAAAAAAATACCACTTGATTTGTCAACAGCACAGAAATAACAATGTCAGAATCGCCCATCTCAAAAAGGAAGGAATCGCCCATCTTTGAAAGATCGGAGCTCTGGAGGTGTTTTTTTTTTTAATAATATAAAATTAAAAATAATATAATATATTTTATTTTTAATTTACAAACACCATTCTGGAGCGTCCAAATTGTTTTTTTTTTAGAGTGCTGCTGATGGGGGTGGAGAAGCTCCATGATGACGCATTTGGGGATAATGATTTTTCAGTGGCTTTTTTTTTTTTGTCTTTTTTCAAATTTTTTGGAAGTTTTTTTTTTAATTTTTGGGTGCCCACTTCCCTGTTTTTTATTTTTATTTTTATTTTTATTTTTATCAAGGTCTGTAGTGGTTACGATACTTCGCTTCTGTGCAGGAGGGTGCCGGTTCGAGCCGTCCGTGTACGGCGGGGCATGATGCCCCAAACACAAGTTGTTCAGTAATCACTGTGTATGCCAACTTCGGTGTTTGTTGCCGTTTTGGAGACGACTCTTTTGGAAAATTCTGAAAATTCTGAAAATCAGAAAATGTCGAAAAAAGAAAAGTCAGAAAAGCCAGGTTGTTTTTCCAGGCGCCCGCGCACCCAACTTGTGCCCGGATACACGCCCGGATGCCCAGCCGGGCATGACCCCCGGGCAGGGTTCCGGGCAGCCCCAGCGCAAAAAAAAAAAAAAAAAAAAAAAAAAAAAACCGAAAGTAAAAATATTCCAGGAAAGAAATATGTTGTGTAGAACTGCAATACAATTATACAAACAACTTTTGGCTGACGGTCACATCAGAATTCCTCACAGAATTGGAGATATATAAAAAAAAAAAAAACAACACAAAATCACACTAAAGGACCCCCCTTTACCCCTCTTAGCCCTTTTAAAAACAAAAATGAAACTAGCCCGGATTTGGGGTCCTCTGGGAGAGCGCAGAAAGGCAAAAAGTTCTTTTTTTTTTTTGCACGCCCGGGTGGCCGGACGTGCAGGCCCGGCCGGGCATGAAAAAAATCCTAGCAGAAAAGCTGTAAAGCGCGACTTTCTTTTTGCATGAAAAGTTCCTAGGCTACCAGAGTTGCCCGGGACCCACCCACCTGCCCACCCGGGCCAACAAACTATAGGAAAAAAAATACATATATATTGTGACGATATATATATATACAGGGTTACCTGACCAAACGTTCGGGGGGCCCCCGGGCTGGCCCCCGAACGTTCGGGCGTTCGGGGTCCCGTTCGGGGGCCGAACACCTCCAGGTTCGGCCCCCGCCAAAAAATTGTTCGGGGCCTAAAAATAACTTTTTTTTTTTTTTTTTTTTTTTTTATGAGTTCTCTATGATGTAACCTACACGCCTATAAATTTTGAAGCCATTCTGCTAAGCCAAAAAAACACTAAAAACCGTCAAAGATGGGGGTGTCAAAACGTGCTCGCCCACTCACTATTTTGTTTTTTTTCACTTTTTAACTTTTTGTTTTCACTTTATTTCGGGGCCTAAAAAAAATTTATTAGTTTTTGAAAAACATTTAACGAGTTATTGATTATGTAAACTACATATCTGTAAATTTTCAGGGCATTTGTCAATGCCAAAAAACAAAGATGGCGGTGTCGAAAAGGTGCTGGCACACTCACTCATTTTAATTCTCTATTTACTTTTTCTTATTTTTACCATAGTGTTTATTTTCTGTATTTGATTTTTAATTCAAATTTGGTAAAGAGTTTGGATGTAGTGCCGAGGCAAATGTTGTTTTATTGTTCTCCATAACATTTTTTTTTTTTCGGAATTTTTTGAAAACCTTTTTTTTTTTCTTTTTTTTTTTTGGTCATCGTTCGGCCCGAACGGCCGAACGCCTTCCGAAGGGGTCCCGTACGTTCGCGCGTTCGGGTTCGGGCGTTCGGCCCATCCCGAATGCCGGCAACCGTGTATATATATACTCTCTCTGTGCCTACGGTTTACCGGGCAGTTCTGTTTGTGACGATATATATATATCGTCAAATAGAACTGCCTACGGTAAACCGTAGGCAGAGAGGGAGAAGAGGACAACAAACGAGGGGCTGTGACAAACTGTTTCGTCGGAGTTTCACCGACTCATCATATCGTCACAAACAGAACTGCCCGGTAAACCATAGGCAGAGAGAGAGAAGAGGACAACAAACGAGGGGCTGTGACAAACTGTTTCGTCGGAGTTTCACCGACTCATATATATATATTATTTACTGTATTTTTTATTTCAAATTTGGAGAGCGGGTTTAACGGAGGCCTTAACTTTCAGACAGCTTGGCTTTTTTTTTGCTTTTTTTTCGCTTTTTTTTGGTAAGGACTTTCGATGTGAGCCTGAGGCAAAAGTTGTTCAGATTAGAAGATGATGAAGCGGCCGGCGAGGAAGCGCATGATGGTTGCTGTTCTCTTTTTTTAAGTTTTTTTTTACGATCATATTGTTAAATGTGGCATTTTAGGTGTGAGACTGCCTGTTGCTGATAGAGATCAAGGATTTGGGATAGATTGGTTTTGGATTACGTTATTTTATTTATTTATTTATTTTTTTGGCCCGGCCGGGCAGGTGGTCCCGGGCCACTGTGGGTAGAGACTAGAATAATAAAAAATAAATACAATATGATTTTACGCCAAGAAACAAGACAGGGATGGACGCAAACCAGACCGAGAAAGAGCGCAAAGAAATATATGACGAAAGTAGGGAACATCGCAAGAAGAAGCCATTATGACTCACGTGTAAAGCATTATGAAGTTCTCGGGCATCTGGCCGATGACCGACCCCAGCATGTACGGAACGAATTTTATCTTCGTCGCCGAGATCAAATAGTTTAACAGCATATATGGCACCGGTCCTAGCCTGCAACAAAAAAAAAAGAACAAGACAAACAACTGAATTCAAAAATGAAAAGAAAAAAAAAAACACGTCCAAAATGCATGCCACTTTCATTCAATCCGTTTCGATTCAACTCGATTCAATCCGTTCTGTTCAGATTAAAATTATATTATATTCAATAAACTATTATATTATATTCAATAAACTTCGTCTCGTCAACACCTCTAGCACCCACAAGAGCACATGTTTCAGAAAAAAAAATGATAATATGATAATATCATAATAAATTAATAATAATAAAAATCAATGACTTTCATTCGATCCTGTTTCAATTCAACTCAATTCAACTCGATTCAATCCAATCTGTTCAGATTAAAATTATTAAATTCCATGAAATTCAGTCCAATTGCATTCAATCCAGTGATTCCCATCCCAATCCCAATCCCAATCCCATTCCCATTCCAATCCAAAGTCCAACAAAATTCCAATTCCAATTCCAATTCCAGTTCCAGTTCCAGTTCCCAGTTCCCGTTCCCAGTTCCAGTTCCAGTTCCAGTCCCAGTTCCAGTTCCAGTTCAGTTCCAGTTCCAGTTCCAGTCATTGGGCCTTGAGCTCTGTGGTTATGGGTTGGCTCCGCTTTCCTTTGTTTGCTGCTTCTGAAAGCTTACGGATTCTCCTTGGATCCTGCTGCTTAGTCAGACTGACTGACACCTGGCTTAACGACCTCTGTGTTCTTGGCTGAGGTTCATGGTGCCTTCTAAACGTGGACTCTTTAACCCATAACTATTTTGTCTGTCTAACAGGAACCTCCTGCCACGATCTACTTAACCAAAGTCATCGTACAAACGAGAGCTAATCTTCAACTGGACTCGTGAACATTGTGCGGGTGGCTGGAACCACCAATGGAACTCGGAATGGGACCTGGGACTTGTGATTGACACCTGGGACTCGGGACTGGGACCTGGGACGCAGGACTCGGGTGAAAGCAGGAAAARAAAACCGAAGAARAAACACCCTGGTGCAAAATTTCACCCTCCCATTTCAAAAAAAAAAAAAAAAAAAAAAAAAAAAAAATCACCCTCCGTAAGCAAGTCAGTGGTCAGAGAAGGAAAAGAAAAAACCGACGAAGACAACCTCGTGGGATTTTTGAAATTTCAAATTTCACCCGCTTTGGGCAAACGGTGTCCCATTTCAGGAATTTGAAGGCCAGAGGATCCGGAAATGTGAAAAAGAGAGATACTTCCCCCTCCCCCCCCCCCCCCCCCCCCCCGCTTCGTCTTTCCCCTCCCCTCCCTCGAAGCTTTTCTCCCCCCTACCCTTTCCCCCCAAGCATGGGCACTCTGTTATCAATGACCCTTGTATACAAGAATCTGTCCCACCTGGAGACAATTTATATCATGAACACGCCTAGCGTCTTCGCCCGAAATAGAACCACTGGCGGGCCTTTGCAAGGAACCCGCCCGACTGTTCATCACTTGCTGGAGTGCATCAGATCACATGCATATACACAGATTTCACAGATTGCGATCTCTCACACATTTTAAAGCCCACTAGAAAATGAATGAGAACCAGGAAAGCTCAGCTCAATGATCAAACCCAGAATTAGCAAGAGAACATCGCGAGTTCAAAGTGCACAGCGCCAAACAGGGTACGAGTCTTCTTCAGTCAACATAAACTCCCGAAAACAATTCAAAACTCAAAAATTGAGTAGTGATTTAGCTAAATAGGATGCGGACCCTGTTTTTGCCCTGACACCCATCAGCACCAGCTGCCTAACGTCGACAGTATTTAGCTAAATCACTACTTATACGGTGCTGAAGAAGTAAGACTATACGGAGCTAAATCACTACTTATACGATGCGGACCCCTCAACAGGTAAGTATCATCACCATAGCTTGCTTCTTCCCCTTTGATCTCTCTCTTCTCTTCCTCTGTCTATAGTGCTGGTCTACTCTCACTCATCATGCATGCGCACTCCCTATCACACGAGGATCTACTCTGAATACTACTCACTGGTGTCTCCTACCGACTATCCCTCCCTACTAACATACTAACTAGCGCTGCCCCGCAGCTATGGCTGCCTTCCCTCTAGCCAGCACTCTCTTCCTCCTTCCCACATAGTGCTGCTCTTCCGCCTAGCGCAGCTCACACACATCTAGCGCACAAGTGCCTCGGCACTTCCACTCTCTCATGCAAAGTGAGCATCTGTCCAAATGGCAGGCTGGCCAGTCCTTTATAGTGCTGAACCGGCCTGCCATGCCCTGCATTCAGCCTCAAGTGTGGAACCGGCCTGCCCAGTACCCCTTGTTGCAAAGTGTATGTATGTCCCCGTATCCTTTCCCATGGTCTGCTGCTGCTTTCGGCCATCGGGCCTGTCTCTTCGACTCCTGGTCTGAATCAGGACTGACTCGTGGGATTATGACTGAACTGGGACTGTGGCCTCCGACTTATTGCCGAACAGACCTGAAGAAGTTTTCAAGACTGACTTTCCATCGAGTTTTCAAGACTGACTTTCCATCGAGTAGACGCCGCTGACTTATTGCCGAACAGACCTGAAGTTTTCAAGACCGACTTTCCATCGAGGAGACATGACCCTAACTCAGTCTTGAAAACGATGTCCAATACCTGTTCGTGCAGGACGTGCTTGTGACTGTTCAAAACGACTGTTCACTTCATTATGGATGCGACATTTGGCTCAGGAACTTTGGCTTTTGGGTTGCTGCTCGTGAATTTAAGTTCTAGCTGACGGGGCCCCTCGCTGTAGGGGCATTCATCCGGGGTTTAATTCGTAATAAAGGTCTTTTTTTTTTTTTTTTTTTTT